TATGATCTATGGTAACATTCAATTTCCTATATATGGTTTTACTATTATTTATGATATTAACAACTAATATTGAGGGTAAATATGTCAACAAACTTCCCACAGGATTTATGGAAATATAAATTTTTTAGCAGGACTATATGTAGCATAAGTCTCCCTAATAGGACTTATAAATAATTTTTCCATGTTTTAATTTTGTTATTTTGCTTTTGAAGTTAATTTTTATTTAAAAATTAAACAAAAATATCACATTAGTTGCTACATGATATAAAAATATATTTATATATATATATATATATATTGCTTGAATATATTGTTATATTAAGATTTGAGTTTGTATAAAAAAATGTGAGTTATATATAATAAAATATTTATATACACTATTATCTCTCAATATGTAATGTTCCATATAATTTTAAACATATATTAACTTTTACAGAAAATTAAAAAAAAATTAAAAAAACTTAAAAAGTCAAAGTGATAAGAAAAAAAAAGGACAATTAAAAAAAAAATTCCAAGTTTGAGCACTATTAAAAAATAAATCCTAAATGTTTAATTTTATCAATTTAAATTCTAATTTTTTTATTTATTTTCAATCTAAACCATTTATCTATTTTTGTTAAGTAAAATTGACAAAAAAAATATTTTAATTATTAAATTGATTGTTACTATTAGCACCCATTTATTACTTTTGACTCTCCATTTTTTTGAATTTCCACTAATAAATTTTAAAATCCTTAAAAATCCTCGCCTCCCCAAAATAATACTAAAATTACCCTTTTAAAAATTTCACACCCACTAAAATGCACACTCTTCAACAGATCTCTAAAAACCATTAATCTCCTGAAAATCTAAAGTTCAAATCTTAAGTTCACCGTAAAAATCTTCCCTTTGACCACGTTTTTCACTCTCACGGTAATATTCGTCTCATTCTTTCTTACGACAGTATCTCTTTAGCCCTCTACAATTTTTTCTTTTTTTTTAGAGTTCTTGATCTGAAACCTATATTCCTCACTCTTCCTTGCAACACTTATTAGAGGCTTTGCTAGGTGGCATTTGGGTTTCAAACTTCCATAAAAGTTGAAAAGAATGTTCGTCATCACCCTAAATAACAATATAAATTAAATTTAGGAATTTGATCGATAATACATGTCGGAACAAAATTCATATATCCAAAACTAAGTGCCATTTTGAGAACATGGTAAAAAGCCACGTTTTTTGACATTTTGTCCAAAAACGTGGCTGCCAAAAACGCCAAAAAAATCATTTGGCAAGTGCTAAAAACGCAGCCCTAAAATTACAAATTAGGGCCTATGAAAAATAAATAAAAAAATAACTCTCTTATGTTAGGTAAGGGTATTTTGGTCATTTTAATTTGATTTGACACCATAAATAAATATTAAACTAAAAAGCAAAAAGCCAACTTTTTACTAACTTCCCAAATCACTTCCAAAAAAGCCAAAAAACTTGGTAAAAAGCCAAAAGCCAGTTTTTTACCAACTTCCCAAAACAACCCTTAGATGTTGAACATATGAATATTGTTCAATTATCCATTGTCGAATTAATGTCTTTAATTCGGTCTTGTGGTGTCATTTTTTTATTATATGTTTGGGAGTTCAGTATTAAAAAAATGTCAAACTATTTTCATCATTTTGTGTTCATGTTTTTGAATGAACCTACCATTACAAGGCCAACATTCTTTCAGTTATGAACATTATCAAAGTTATGAACCTCTTCTAAATTTACATTGTTGTACTTCATTCGTTTCATAATATTGTAATTGTCGGAAAAACTTCTACTTATTGTTATTGTCGGAAAAGTGTGTATAATCGAATGGTTGCCACTGTTGCTATCGAAATATTGTCGCCATAAGGTTTTTAAAGTTTTGAATATGGGTAAGTTTTGATGGTTATGAAGTGTATGGATGGTGATAGAGGTGGGTACTCATATAAACTCTATCTTATAATTAAGTGGGTGTACGAGTTTAATTGTGAGATGGGTTATTTCAAAATAATTGATGTAATCTTTAATAATTTCATATGTGGTTAATAAAAATAAATAAATAAATGGGAGTCTAAAATAATAAGTGAAGTGCTAATAGAAACACTTTATTAAACTCAATGTAGATACACATAAAATGCCTAAAATATTATTTTTTTTCTTGAGTTTAAATTGATAAAATTAATAATTCATGATTTATTTTGTTATAAGAGTCAAATCTTAAATTTATTTTTATTTTTATAATTTCTCCTAAAAAAATTAAGAGCTAAAAGTGAAAAAAAATCAAAAAATATTAAACAGTCAGAATTTTTTTTCTACAGAATTAATTAAAAAATAAAATTCCTAACTACTTTCCTATACAATAATGAAATTACTTGAATTATTAATTGAAATATATTTCTAACTTTATTATATACTCTTAATTTACTTAATGATTTATTAATAAAATGAGTCATTTATTATGAAATTAGAAACTTTAAGAGTGAGATATAATTTTTAGAAAAAAATCCTATGGTACACATTTTATAAATAAAGAAGAAAATTATATAATTTCATACTTTCTTAGTCATAACTAAATATAACATAAGATATAACTAAAAAATTCATGAGTTATAACTAAAATAATATCAGAATTAAAAAAGAAAATTAAACATAACTAAAAAAGAAAATAGTATAATTAAAAATGTATATGATGCACTCTTTTCGAGGTATGTGTGTTAAAATTTTCTAATTTTTAAAATCATAATGAATAATTCATATTTTAAATAAATTTAAAGAATGTATTTATAATTTTTTTTTTTTTTTAAAATGGTCCAAATGGCAGTCCTCTCTCTTTACCTGTTTTCAACTAATCCACAGAGAGAGAGAGAGAGCGAGATATGGGTGGAGGAGGATTCCAAGTGATGAGGAGAATTCCCAGTATCAAATTCCCACTACGATACCCAAAATCCTCTGCGTCAGGTCTCTCCCTTCCCCCTCCCTTTCTCTCTCTTTCCTTCTTCCGATCTATTTTTTTTTTTGGTATTTATAAATTTATGTGTGCTTCTAACTGCCAGTTTATTTTACTTCATTACCAAGTTCTGATCTTTTTCCTTCTCTCTCTCTGTTGCTTCCATGTTAACACAACCCACTATTTTTTTTGAAATTCTGACTAATTTTACTGCACTTCAATTGCTTAGTTTTTAATTGATTGTTTTTTTCATTCTTTCCTTTTGCCTAAACAAAAAATTAATTTTTTTTTTTTTGGGGGAATTGCTTGGTCTTATGAACTGGGTCAGTTATGGTTAGCAAATTTAGGGTTTGTGCTTCTCTATGTTGTTTTCTTGAATCATTGATTGATCTAAGTTTGATATTTTTTAGCTAATGAGATCACCTGATGTATTTTTAAACAATCTCAAATGAGTGGTATCTGATGCTAGATTTAGTAAATGCCTTGACACTACCAAGTAAAATTAGTTTAGGGAGGAGATTAGGTATTCATACACATTGCTAACTGAGATACTAGTATAGATTTTTTTTATTTTTGAAGTTTTAAAAAGAAGGTGAAATGAGGATGTGAAATGGAGTAATGGCAACATAAGAGAGTTCAAATCTAAATGAATGCATCAGTCATGGGGACTCAGTAAATTTCACTTTAATTTGGGACAAGACGAGAAGGTTGGACAACAGGGTTTGCTTATGTGTTAGTAAATATATATCATTATACTAGCTAGAAGCACTATTGTTCTGATCAAGGGCGGAACTACTTGGCACGGGATTCTCTGTCCCTAAATCCTTTTTGGTCCCAATAAACTCCCAAGCTCCTTGCCATAGGATCGTCTCAAGATTTTCGTGTCGAGAGATTCTCACACACATATACCATGCCTGACAATGCATTGGGACAAAGGGACATAGGGATTTGGGATAGAGTATCCCTGGACGAACTACTTCAAATTATTGTACATTTACTAGTTAGGAGCACTTCTTTATTAATGAATTAGTTCATTGTTTTAAATCATGGGACTCGAGAACTAAAAGGTGCTGATTCAACAACCTCCATATGTAGTCATGATATGTTTTGGAAAAAATATTGCTAAATTTAATCGTGTGATCATCACACTTACATAGGACCATGGGTGTCAAAAATGTACATATCAAGGTTTTGGCTCTGGTTGAATATGTCACAGTTAGGAAGCAGTTTGGCCAGTACGCGACTGGTAAGAAGAATGGGATTGAAGGTACCCCATGCTTTGTGGGATATTAGGGCTTGAGAAATTTTGAAGAAGGAAAAACGTTGTCAATTTTGACAACTGACTTAGAAATGGAAGAAGGAATGCGAGGTCTAATTCCCTTCCTACAATCTTGTCAATTTGCAGTGGAAACAAAATTTCTGTGTTGTTCACTGCAACTTCTTAAACCAGGTCTCAGAGTATATCTTTCCCCTGTTGTTCTGTTCTTTACTTTTTTGAGATGTATCAATGTTGCTAAACAGCAATTGGACACCACACTAGGCTTCAAGTGCTCCTTTTAGAGGAAGCTACAATGTAAAAATCTCAAATTTATACTTTGGTGGTTTGATTCAAAGTTCAAACATTGGATATTGGTACTTTGGAGTACTGTTAAAGTAATTTTGCATTCATCTGCAAAAACGGTGTTTTCAAACATTAAGGGCTTGTTTGGTTTGTTTTTGGGAGAGTTGTTTTTGAAAAAAAATTTGGGGAGAGAGTTTAGAAATTTTTTTGGTTTGTTTGGTTGTATATTTTGGGAGAGTTGTTTTTTTGGGAGTTAGGGATGATTTGATATTTTGAAAAAATCTGAGTAGATGTGTGTGAGAGAAAAAGTGATTGAGAATGAGAGATGAGAGAGAAAAAGTGATTGATTGATGTGTAAGAGAAAGAAAGTGATTTTGGAAATTTTTTGAGAAAAACTCAAACCAAACAATTTTTTAGAAATTTTTTTCGAAAATATTCGTGAAAAGGTAAAAGTAGCACCAATTGAAAATAAGTTGAGAGAGAACAAGTTAGGATGTTTTGATTATATACCATGAATAAATGCAACAGTAAGGAAGAGTAATATGAATACCACAAATGAAAATTTTAGGGGGGGGATAAGACCTAAACTGATGTGGGATGTGTTAGTAAAAAACAGTATGAATTTATTTAATTTAATTAAGCATATAGCCTTTGACCAAGTAGAGTGGCAAAAAATGATTCATGTAGTAGCTGACTCCGCTTGATTGAGACACAAGGCTTACTTTGGTTTGGTTAATCAACCCTTTTGTTATTATCAATTTCCAGGTTCTGCACCAAGGTCAGATGTTCCAGCAGCGCCCACCAACACTGCTGTTGGAGGGAAAGCTTCTCTTCAGCCAAAGCGCACACCTGTCACAGACAGGGAAATAGAAGCTGTTCTGGTAAGGGTACTGTCCTTTCCATAGAGTCGAATTTGAATATTTCTTTTACCTGAGGTTGTATCAGAACTAAATCCAACCATAAAACTTCAATTCTATACATTTAAAGTAATTGTAAAGTGCTCTATTGGAAAGTAAGTGTTTGATGATTAGCACAATGATGATACAAGGATCATGAGTGTCCACCTGTTTGATCTTTATGCTTGACAAGTTTGTCTTGCTGATTTTACATATATATCTTACCTAAAAGATCTGATCATAGATATTCAGACATTGAAGTAGATCATGCCTATGAAGTATGGATATGGATACGGATACGAATACAAATTTGGATATGGGATATGAGTATTACATGATACAGTTGATATGGAAAATCTAAAATATGTTAAGGATATGACAACATATGTATATATATCTAATTAATTTTGTCATCACATATATGTAACAAACTTTTGTCTCTAATCATGTATTATATGTTTTCAATTTCAAATTTATAATGCATTCACATAAAAAAAATAAGTTGTATAAAAAAAAGAAAAGAGAAAATGAAGGTTATGTTATGGAGACACAAAACTTGGACCAAATTTGAGCCATAAGGTGATCCTTATACTGAAATTTTCTAATTAGATCTTGATCCTTATGCATTTTTTTATTTATTCTTTTTTCCACTATGTCTTCTGCAGTTGGGTGGCTGCTTGTGACTTTCAGTGGACTGACCTCCGTGGAAGGAAGTGTTTGACATTTGTTCTACCATTTTCCATCATATGATATATGAAACTACTACTACTACTACAGTGAACTGTTGTATTTTAACAGTGCCTGGCAATTCATAAATCAGCTAAATATGTAATCATATGCTGAACTAGAACTTAAGCCTGAAGGTCGAATACCGTCAACTCATTACTTTCATTTCCATTTCCTTTTTATCCTTTTCTTTAGCAGCAGCCACGAGAGCCATATATGGCAAGGCCACCACCTTACAGAGCTCTATAGCATCAAGTGGCTGCCCATATGCTTCTATGTTAATATATGTGATTTGAGCTCCAATCTCTCTCCCCATTTTGTGTAAGAACACAGTACTTGAGAAAATGTTTGGGCTTTGTCATAGTATCAAAATTCTTGTGAAAATTTTTAAATCTTTGGATGCTTGACAGATCTGAGTGAGATGCAACTCAATGGAGATGATTTCTTCTTGGTGTTGCGTTGGATTTTGGTTTGCATTAGAAAGGGCACGAGGCAGGAATTTTATTCCCAGTTTCCAAAATCTGATTGACACAATTTGTTTCTGTGAAAAACTATTTTTAGAAGAAAAAAATTCATAGAAAACTTTTTCATATATTGTTTGTGATATTGAAACTAATTGTTAGTGGCTTTGGTGGTGGCGGCAGTTGTTGTCAGGCACATGTAGTGGTAATGTGATGGCTATTGGTAAAATTTTAGTGCAAAAAATATTTCTTACTTTTCGAAGTGAATAATATTTTCTACCCAAATAAGTATTCATTTGAAAGTGAAAATTATTTTTTTGTATGTACATAACTAGGGTCGGAGAAATACAAAATACAAATACACGAGAAAATATAATCGCATGCACACACAGAATACAATTCACTTCAAACTAGGAATATCTGAAAGGTTACGGGAGTTAACTTTCTCCCCTCAACTATAAATACATAGAAATTAAGACAATATGTCACGAGCGCAAAAAATATAGTAAATATCCTTACTCTATCCACTCGAGTATTTAGTGTCTAATATTTATTAGAATTCACATTACAACAAAAATGTTTTTCATTCTTTCATGTTTTGTCATATCAAATACCAAGAAACATTTTCAGCTGAAACAAAAGGAGCATAACTCAGACGATGTGTTACCAGTTTCAAAATGCGATTAACAAAACAGCTTTCTTGCATAGTTCTCCATAATATTAATTTCCATTTCCATTGACAGATCAAAGAAAAAACTGTACATCATTCTTTTCAACCATCACAAGAGCCACCTCCCTCACAAAAATATAAACACAAGACAACACACAAAAGAACCTACCACCCAACCCTGCAAATCCCACTCTGTTGCACTCTTTTGAGTTCTTTTGTATCTATGAGCCTAATATGAGGATGTGAAAACAAAGCTATCTGTCTATTTCTTGATAAACAGATCCATCCATATATATATATATATATATCTATGTCATTACTGTCTGTTTGCTGCTATCTTGTTGCCTCTTGCCCCTTTCGACCAGACTGGTTGTGTTGTCTTGTCCATCTCTCATGAGGTACTTGTCAACCTGCGAAGCAGCTTGCCGGCCTTCTGAGATGGCCCAAACTACCAGAGATTGGCCTCGCCGGCAATCCCCGGCTGCAAAGACTCCATTCACGTTGGTTGAGAAGCGGCCATAATCTGCCTTGAAGTTTGAACGATTGTCTTGCTCCAAGCCCAGTTTTTCCGATAGTGTCTGAAGGAATTAAGCATCACAAAAATCAGTATGAAATCAATTATACATGCTTTCTAATTGACTAGGGTTGATGACAAAATTCAGGTGAACATTATTGAAAAAAGAGAGAAAATTACCAATTGGTCTTCATATTTCTTTACTCAACCCTAATCTATTAGAAAACAGAATGCACAACTTCAATTTTGCGAAGGACCCAAGGCATAGAATATCAATGCCTGGAGCTAAACTTAATTACGCTATTCTAACCAATAATTTTGATGATTCTAGTTGCAAGAGAAATTAGTCAAGATCACTTCCAACAATTACTCTAGATCAGAAATTGAACTTGGTTACTGGTTCAGCATAGAGAAATTATAATTGAGTAGCAGTTAAGAATACTAACTGATTCAGGACCGAGGAACCCCATAGCGAGTAGGACTAGGTCTGCCTCGATCATCTCCTCCGAGCCTTCAATTTCTTTAAACTGAAACTTCCCACCAGCATCCTTCTCCCAACGGACACATATCACCTCAAGTGCTTTCACATTCCCATTCTCATCTCCCACAAACCGTTTAGTTAATACCTCATAAGACCTGGGATCTTTCCCAAACTTGGTAGCAGCTTCCTGGTGCCCATAATCCACACGGAATATGCGAGGCCACTGCAAACAAAGAAATTTGAAGGGAATAAATCATTAAAACGATTAGAAAAAGCAGGCATCAAATGTTACAAGATTTTTGCGATTTTCAAACTCTTCCATTTAGACCATGTAACCCTGATTTTCAACAGATATTCCAAAACATCCACCACCAACTATTATAATCTTCCATTTAAAATCTGTTGCTTTTACACCATTCAAAATTTATTTGAATATTTACCATTTTTCTATATTATTTTGTTAATTAATTACCTATTTCAATAATTTTTCACTTTGTTTCAAGCAAGTTTTGCAAAATCTGATAGGGATGATGCACATGTAGTAAGACCAACCAGAGAACATTACATGACTAGGGCTGTAAAATGAACCATGCTACTCGAGCTCAACTCATGTTAAGCTCGTTAAAAGCTCATTTGAGATCGGCATAGTCAAACTTAAACAAATTTGAAAGCTCGGCATAGTCAACCTACTACTCGGCTCAACTCAATTATATGCACTATAACAAATCAAACTACTCAATTCAAGCTCATTTGAGATCAACTCAAAAGTTAAATAAGTCAATCCTAAACACATTTTGAAGCTCATTAAGTTTTCAAGTCAAATTTAAACAGCCTATTGCTCAACTCAACTCATTTACAACCCTATATATGACCAACATATTGAGGAATGGTCTTGTGTACTCTGCATTTTTTTATTTTTTATTTTTGTTTCAGTTGCCATATAATAAAATCTACAAACCTGTGGCCAAGGGTTTCCCGGGGCTCTGGTTCGAGGAGGCTGAGGGAGAAGCTCCAGATTTACAATGTTAGTACAGCCATGTCGGATAGATGTTCCTATGCAATCTGTACCAGTATCGCCTCCACCAATTACCACTACCTTCTTGCCCTTGGCAGAGATGTATTTGCCATCCTCAAGATTGCTATCAAGCAAACTTTTGGTATTTGCATGAAGAAACTCCATGGCAAAATGAACCCCTGATAGCTCGCGTCCGGGTACAGGAAGATCCCTGTAACCAATATTTTGTTCACTAATTGTTAGTGTGTTCTAAAGAAAACTATACTGGCAATTTGTTTTTTAAAAAAAAAAACTTACCTTGGTTTTGTGGCTCCTACAGCTAAAACAATTGCATCATTCTCCTCTTGAAGCCGATCAAGGGAGTACATGGGATCTTTTCCCACATTAGCATTGACCACAAAATTGACACCCTCCTTTGCCATAAGGTCAACCCGTCGTTGAACTATATCAACCTTATCGGTCTTCATGTTAGGAACTCCATACATCATAAGGCCCCCAATTCGATCAGCACGCTCAAAAACTGTCACAAAATGACCCATTCTATTCAACTGATCAGCAGCAGCCAAGCCGGCAGGTCCACTCCCAACAATAGCAACTCTTTTCCTGTATGACCAAGGTTATTTAGAATCCAGTGTCCCAATAATTTATACCAAAATAACATTCGGCTCAAAAGATATAGATTTAATTATGAAATCCATAACATGACAATCACTAGGGCTCCAATCAGTTATCAAGAATTTTGTGTCATGAGAAAGCTATTCCCAGGAATGTATTGTATAGTAAAGGAAAGGAAACTTGTTTTCCATGCGTGTTCATTTGTCAGGAAAAGGAAAGTGAATTATTGAGATTCTTGCAAAATCCTGTATTTCTTTGCAGAGCATGTTTTGAAGGAAAACTTGTCCTACTGAGAAAGTTGAAGATATGAGTCCCACAAAAGCCTTGCTAATTGAACATAAAAATGTTATGGGAAAGTTGATCTTCTTGTACTTTACTTTCTTTCCCTGACCACTGAATGATTCCCTAAAGAACTCTGAGAGAATGGAGACTCTATTCAATTATGCAAGAGCAAAAATCATACCCAGTTCTTCTGAGGGGAGGTCGTGGCACCATCCAGCCTTCCTCGAAAGCCTTATCTATAATAGAGCATTCAATGTTCTTGATAGATACAGGATTCTCAATAATACCAAGAACACAAGAACCCTCACAAGGTGCAGGACACACCCGACCAGTAAACTCTGGGAAGTTATTAGTCTCCAGAAGCCGATCTAATGCTTCACGCCATCTATTTTGGTACACCAACTCGTTGAATTCAGGAATTTTATTCCCAAGAGGACATCCTGAATTCTCCTACAATTTATTAAAAATAGAAATCAGATATAAGACTGAAAAAATTGGGCAAAAGTTTGCTGTGAGAGACTTTTGAATTAAAAAGAACAAAAAATATTGCAGTTCTTGGTCACCTGATGGCAGAAAGGAGTACCGCAGTCCATACACCGAGCAGATTGTGTCTTTAGAAGTGGACTAGGCTTGGCTTCTTCCATGACCTCCTTCCAATCGTTCATCCGAACATTAGGATCCCTATATGAGACGCCCTCACGCTCATAAATAATGAATCCTCTATTTTTAACAGCATCGGGAACTCGAGTTGGCCTCGTTGGCAATTCTGTCTCTGAAACTTTCTGCAAATTCTGAACGCTGATCAGACCCTTTTACTGGCTATAAGTCATTACCAAGATATATAGCACATGCTAGAGGGAAAAATGCAGGGGAGGATGAGAGAGAGAGAATATAATAGAAGTATAGAAAAGCATCCATGAAAATGAGGCAAATTGTTCTTATATGTACCACATGTCCCATTGTAGTCTTTAATATAAAAAAAAATAAAAAATTATACATTAAAATTTTCTTTAAAATATTATCCCTATTTCTATGAAAGAGACCTCACATCTTATCAAGCATTAAAATCATGTAACAGTTCAAGTATGAAAGAAAGATTTGATCAATAAATGAATATAACTTACCGGAACATCTTTCCCATTTGAGGACATAGCTGCCAACTTCTTAAGCTCTTCAAAAGCATCTTTTTTGATTAAATCTGCCTCTTCTTGCTCATCAGCTTCATTAGCAGCCCTCGATGCAGCCTCTTTGGCAATTTTCTCTTCTTTCATGCTTGCAAGAATCCGTTTATAATCTCTAGGAAAGACCTTAACAAATTTAGGTAAAATATTATCGAAATCAGCAAGCACTTCTCTAGCTAGTTGGCTGTTTGTGTGACGCTGATGTTGTTGTATCATCACTCTGAGAGTCATAATATCCTCTTCTTCTTCAACTTTATCGAGATCCACCAACTCAGGATTGCATCGGGATTGGAACGTGGCATCGACATCAAGAACATAAGCAATGCCACCACTCATCCCTGCAGCAAAATTCCTCCCGGTTTTTCCAAGCACAACAACGGTCCCACCAGTCATGTACTCGCATCCATGATCACCAACACCTTCTACAACTGCTTTTGCCCCAGAATTACGGACACAGAATCTTTCTGCTGCCATTCCATTGAAGTATGCTTCCCCAACTGTTGCCCCATAGAGAGCAACGTTACCGATCACGATGTTTTCCTTTGGATCAAAATTGCTTCCTTTTGGAGGATAAACAACAATCTTTCCACCTGATAGTCCTTTACCAACATAGTCATTGCTATCACCTTCAAGCTCCAACGTGATGCCTGGGCAAAGAAAAGCCCCATGGCTCTGGCCCGCACTTCCATTGAGTTTGATATGGATTGTATCTGCAGGAAGGCCCGCCATGTGATAGCGCTTTGTCACTTCATGGCTAAGCATTGTTCCAACCGCACGATTTACATTGCAAATTGGTGTTTCAATGTATACAGGAAGGCCTTTTTCTAAAGCAGCATTGGACAGAGTTATGAGTTTGTTATCCAAAGCCATGTCCAAACCATGATCTTGTTTCTGTACACAATACTGGGCAGCTTCTGGGCGGATGTCAGCTGCAGGCCTAAGTAACAAGGAGAGATCAATATTCTTTAGCTTCTCACTGTTCTTTGTCACTTCTTTATCAAGCTCAAGCTTATCCGAACGACCAACCATTTCATTGATGGTCCTAAATCCGAGCTGAGACATGATTTCTCTCACCTCCTCTGCTAGCATGAAGAAAAAGTTTATTACATGTTCAGGTTCACCAGCAAACTTTTCCCTAAGTACTGGATCTTGGGTAGCAATGCCAACTGGACAAGTGTTTTTGTGACACTTGCGCATCATGATGCAACCAAGTGTGATGAGTGGTGCTGTGCTGAAACCAAACTCCTCTGCACCAAGAAGAGCTGCAATGGCCACATCTCTTCCGGTTTTCAGTTGGCCATCAGTCTGCAGGACCGTTCGGCCACGAAGGTCGTTAGCAACTAGAGTTTGGTGAGTTTCAGCAAGACCGAGTTCCCATGGGAGGCCAGCACTCTTGATGCCAGTCCATCGGGAAGCACCTGTACCACCATCATGACCTGAGATCAAGACATGATCGGCATGACCCTTCACAACCCCACTAGCAATTACTCCCACACCAGCTTCGGATACCAACTTCACACTAATTCGAGCCCCTGGATTTGCATTCTACAAATTATGGAGAAAGAAGTCAGATATGATAAACCACGCAACTAATAAAATTGAAACTTGCACAAGAAACAGTTCATGTACTTACCTTAAGATCATGAATCAATTGAGCGAGGTCTTCGATTGAATAGATATCATGATGGGGAGGGGGGCTGATCAATCCAACCCCAGCAGTGGAATTCCTCGTGATGGCAATGTCTCCAATAACCTTGTGGCCAGGAAGTTCACCGCCCTCACCAGGCTTGGCTCCCTGTGCAAAATGGCAGTCCAAAATTAATAATAAATCCAACATACAAAAATAAACAAGTTCAGTTCATATTAAACCTCGCCAAATGCAAAGACAGGCCAACAGGATAGATAAATAATAAAAAAATGGGGGTTCAAATGTCAATTCAAAATATACCTGAGCCATTTTTATCTGTAGCTCATCGGCATTTGTAAGGTAGTAACTTGAAACGCCGAATCTTCCACTTGCAACCTGCTTAATTGCACTCCTTTTTGGATTCATTGAACCATTTGGTAAAGGCTCCATACGAGACGGGTTCTCACCTCCCTCACCTAGAAAGAAGTTGCACAAAGTAAGTGCAAGGAAAGAAGAATGTGAGAAATTTCATCCCCGGAGAAGCAACGAGAGAAATATAAGCTATGAAAGAAAACAAATTTATGCAGAAACAAAGTCTACAAAATTGACCAATAAAGTCTAGAACAAAAATGGCAAACAAGTAAATGGATCTTGAAGGAGCATTGAAGGGAAAAACAAAAATGCAAAATAATGAGTTCAAAACAACACTCCACAATTTTTTGACATTAAAAAAGGGAGTAAAAAATGATGAGTTCAAAACAACACTCCACAAATATTTTTTGACATTAAAAAAAGGAAGCCAAAAATAATAACACAACCAAGTCCCTCCTAATGTTTCAGATTATTCAACACTGACATGACATGCTCAAATAAATGACATTAATTAGCACAAATAATTGAGAAAATCTTATCAAGGGCATACCTGTGTTCGATTTCCCCCCAATCTTGTTCATAGCCATGGCAAGGGTGGTGTGTGCCTCCAAAGATATTGATCCATAACTCATGGCTCCAGTACAAAACCGTTTCACAATCTCACTGGCCGGTTCCACTTCATCTAAAGGAACTTTCACCTCTGCCTCTATAAATTTCAAAAGCCCTCGCAAATTGCAGTTTTTATTTAATTCCTGTATGCGCTTAGAGTATTCTTTATAGGCTGCCACACTATTAACTCTAGCAGCCTCTTGCAGCTTAGATATAGCAAGCGGGTCATTCAGGTGGACCTCACCGCCTTTCCTCCAGTGATAATCCCCAGGATTGGGCAATGATACAGCCTCAGCACTTCCAGGAGGGAAAACCCGTGTAGGAAATGCTAGATCGTGCAATTGAAGCACATCATTGGCAAGCGCTTCAAACGTTGCTCCCTCAACTCTGCTCGGAGTTCCAGCAAAGCACCGCTCCATCACTTCTGATGAAAGCCCCACCGCCTCGAAAATCTGGGCACCTTTGTACGAGGCCAAAGTTGAAATCCCCATTTTGGCAAGAACTTTCATCATGCCATAGTTGCTTGCTTTGAAGTACTTTTTGATCAGCTCATCCTTTGACTGGAATTCACCACTTGCTTTGGGTGGAATCTTCCCATCAACCTGAAGTCTCCAAATGGCCTCTATGGCCAAATAAGGGCATATAGCATCCGCACCGAATCCAACCAAAGTACAAAAATGGTGCACTTCACGGGGCTCAGCAGATTCAACGATTAACCCAATTCGAGTCCGTTCAAGCTTTTTAACTAAATGATGATGGACAGCACCAACAGCCAAAAGGGAACTTACAGCAACTCGTTTTGATGAAAAGGCTACACAGTTGAACAAATTACAAATAAGTTATTTAACATGCTAATAACATATTATCTATTAAAGAATAAAGATGATTCTTTTTCTTTTCTTTTCTCTTTTGATAAATAAAGCCAACTTTATATATGTATTTTCCATTTTTTTCAGGTGCAGCCCTAGTTTAGGATATGCAGTACCTCCGTCAGAAAGCACCAGCGTTTTGTAACCCTCCTTAATTGCATCATGTGCCTCAGCACAAATCCTATCCAAGGTCTCCTCCAAGCCCTTACTACCACGATCTTTAGAAAATGTTATATCAAGAACTTTGCTACGCCAGCCTCTGTAGTTCATCTTCTTAATTGCTTCCATTTCTTCAATAGATAAAAGGGGACCTTTTAGCGAGAGGCGATGACATTGTTCTTCAGTAGTCTCAGTGAGATCACCTTCTGGACCAATCATGCACTCCATGGAAGTGACTATCTTCTCCCGGATAGGATCAATTGGAGGGTTTGTAACTTGAGCAAACATCTGCTTGAAATACTCAAATGTGAGTTTCTCTCTGTTTGACATCACAGCCAATGGAGCATCGTTTCCCATTGAACCAAGGGACTCAACTCCGTCCTTTGCCATCGGTAGTAGCAGCATCTCCAAGGATTCAACAGTGTAACTGCATAAGAGGCCAGCATTTGAATCATTTCCACAACAGAAATGCCACAGTAAAAGTTTAAAAATAAATAAATTAATTACAGACGAAGAGGAGGGAAAAGAGAGAAAAATACCCAAAAGTCTTCAATGGAGCCAACAAACCATGAATGCCCATATTTTCCATGTTGTCGTCATCATTAGATGCCTGGTTACATATAAGAGATGTTATCTGTATTGAGAACTGCCCATGAAAAGAGGTGGAGAAGAAAGCATTTGCAACCTTAAAACAGACACAGAGAAGTAATACTCACGGGCAAAACTCCTGCTATAGCCTGAGGAACCCTCTGAGATTTGCTAACAGATTCAACTATGTCTTTCAGCTCTATCTTTCGCCTTTTAAGCCACTCTCCATAAGGTCTTGAAAGTGAATACTGCTGCTTCAGCTCTTCATCGTCAACAACAACATGCTTCTCAAAATCCACCAGAAGCATCATACCAGGGTTAAGTCTTCCTTTCCTGCACACATCTTCAGGTTGAATATCAACTACTCCAACTTCGCTTGCCATTATAACTCGCCCACTGTGTGTGACATAAAATCGTCCTGGACGCAATCCATTTCGGTCCAGTGTAGCTCCAAGATAGCGGCCATCAGTAACTGCATATTTTGTTTTTGGTAAGCACAAACCAAATGCTGCTAGGGAAGCAAGTCAATGCAGAAATAAAAAGGTTTTGTAGAACTCTTACAGGATATCAGAGCAGGCCCGTCCCATGGTTCCATGAGGGCTGAAAAGTACTCGTACAAGGCTTTTCGATGAGGATCCATATTCTTATCATTTTGCCAGGCTTCCGGGATCATCATCATGACAGCTTCAGGAAGACTTCTACCAGCTCGAACCAAAAGCTCAAGGACACCATCAAAAGCCCCTAAAAGAAGAGGGAAATTCAGATAGAATAGAAGGTTATCAAAATGATTTGAATTTCAGGCAAGCATGAGTAGTGGTTCTACTTCGCCCCTTACATCGGCAATTTAAGTGTCTACGTGCTGATTGTTAAAATTCATCAACACCACCATTCAAATACAAGATGCATGTACATACGGATGTATGCAAGCACATAAACAAATATTATAATCCAACCTGAGTCAGATGAGCTGGCATCTACAATGGGTAGAAGCTTCTTCATCTCATTCTTTGACAGACCAAGTTCCTTGCACTTCAGAAGACCCTCACGTGCCTTCATCCTAAATTGGGATCATGAACATCACTCAATTGTTTTAAACAGGAAAATAAATGAATAATGAAGCAATAAACTCTATTAGTAAGTAATGTACATGAATCAGAAATTTAAGAGGTTCATAAGCCCCAACTAGCATCCTTGTGAACATAATCTTGAACTTACCTATTAGGCTTATTGCTAATGTATACTGATTCAGAAAGAATAAATACACATATGGACCTCATTTGAAAACAATTGAGTGAAGGTATTTATTCAGAAAGAATAAACCATGTGTGTATTTATTCTTTCTGAATAGCACTACTCTACCAGTAAAACAGGTATCCAAGAAACTTAAAATGAAACCACCAACTTTCCAACTCAGAACCTGATATTTCTCCAAGTGCTAATAAAGCTGCATGTAACAGGTTAGTAGTGAATGGCTTAAAAACTCGATGACATGTCACACGAAATGGCATGCCACCTATTCAACCAGGCATTTCTAAATAAATCGACAAGATGATCTTGATTTTCCTTACAGATAGAAATATCTTATAAATCTTAGCAATCAATTTTAATGAGTTTCCAGAATTTCAAGGCTCAGCTGGGGTGTGACAGGTCATTGGTAAAGATATTCAAGTTCAATCAACAATCATATCAAAATCTCCGGAATACTTCTACAAAAATGAATGAAATAAAGAATTGTATTCAGGAACAATTACTCCACGACTTGCTCAAGAACTTACCAATTTACATTGCCCCGAAGTGTGTTAATTTCCCCATTATGACCTAAGACACGCATAGGCTGAGCACGATCCCAGCTAGGAAATGTGTTTGTTGAGAATCGAGAGTGTATCTGCACCAAAAATAGATCCAAAACTTCAGCCCAAACTCCATCCACATTATTGACGATATGGGATCTAACTTGCAACCATGAAATTGTGTACAGGGCACTTCAATAAACAACATACCGCAGTGCCAGTACATAACATCACGGAAACCCTAAACTACCTTTAACCAGACACACTTCCTTTCCACCACTTAAATGGAAGTCTATCCTCAAGAACTGATTATAGAGAACACTGCATCGAGTTTCTGCAAACACGATTTACTTGATAATGAGGTTCCTTACCAACTCACCCAAAGAATGCAATCCGGCATCCAAATTCAAATAGTAATCAAGGAAGCGGAAGAACTTAAGAGATCATTCATACTTCAATGCCTCAGAAGTCATTCCTCAACCCTGCATCTCTTCGTTTAACTGGTTGATCCCATGCTGTTGGTTGTCGAAGTATGGAGTCAGTGGACAAAGAAGAAAAGTGAATAGAAAATATATTTACCAGGGCCATGTAGCTCGTAAACCTTTCATTGCCAAGATCTGCATAATAGTATTGCTTCAACTGGTTGGGCTTCAATTGACCTTTATAGACAACGGTCCTGGAAAACAAACAAAAAAAAGGCTCTATGGTATAATCTTACTGGAGAGTCACATTCAACCAAGATTTTGTAATTCCAGAGAAATGATAAAGACAAACCTTGAGGAAAGCGAACATATATAGAAGTCCCTCACTCCACCATGTTGGAGGTTTAATGCAGCTCGGATAGCCACCATTGAAACCCTCCTTAATATGTATAACTGTCAAAAAATAAAAGGAAAAAGGCAAAATGTTACAAAATTGTTGTGAAGTTCTGAAAATAAAAGCAAGAAAGATAACACTACAACAGAAGTTCTATTTTCCTCCCTCGCTTGCTCGTTTCGTTATCCTCCTTCCATATAACATTAATAAAAAGATCAGAGACTGCGACTGATCGTGTAACTAGGATCATCCAGTTCTTCTTGATCAAGAGCAACCGATGTTTCATTCATGTACAATTGTTACGTCTAATAGGACTATACATCTCACGTAGACCTCCAAAAGATGCAAAATTCACAGTTTCCTTCTGAAGAGAAATGTATAGCTAAAAAGAAATAGATCTGTACCTGTTGCTCAAAATCGACTTTAGACTTAGGAGTGGGCGTAAGAAACACTTGCTCAATAACAGGTTCGGTCTGCAAAGCAGAGTTTCCCAATCCTGAGTTATCTGTTGGGACAGTGCGCCAGCCAAGGACAGTATGCCCGAGAGACTCCGCAACCTAGAAATACAATCATTAATTTTCTTAGGAGACGACCTCAAAAACTCCAAAACATACTAGTCTATGAAAAGCAAATAAGAAGATGGTCTAGGTAAATTCACTTTTCCAATTACAACTTACAAGCACAAGTTGAACTAAGTTTTGATATTAAAATTACCTTAGTAAATACGATTTTGCTTTGTGCCCTTCGATTTTCAGATGTAGGCAAGAAGAACATGCCCACGGCATACTCCCCTGGAGGTGGTAGCTCAAAACCCACATCTTTGGCAACCTGACAAACGATGACCCGACAACAATTACAAAAATAAGTAGGAGAATTTGAACCCAAATAGCAAGAAATCGATCAACAGAACAGAATTGAATTTGATAGTTTGAACCCAAAAAGGAAGAAATCAAGCAAAATAAATGAGTTTGAGAGTTTGAACCCAAATAGCAAGCAATCAAACAAAACCAATAAATTCAGTCTTAGAATGCCTAATCCACATTTTAAGTAGAATTTTTAATTTTCTATCTGTTCTTCTCTTTCCTTTTTGGGTGTTCATTCATAAAATTTATAATTATCCAAAATCAGATATAAAAATCACAAAAATGAGATATTAGATTAGTGTACCTCCTTGTAGAACTGGTGAGGAAGAGCTACAAGAATGCCAGCCCCATCACCAGTATTAGTCTCACATCCACAAGCACCTCTATGTGACATCCTTATCAACATCTCCACCGCATCAGTCACCTTTTTCAAATCAAAACACAATAACAATTCTTAAAACTCATAAAAATCAAACTCATATCTCAAAAACCAAACACCCAAAACTATTATATACCGTTTTCCGGCTACTTTCTCCGGACAATTCAGCAACAAACCCCACCCCACACGAGTCCTTATCGAACGAAGGATCATAGAGACCGAGAGGCTTCTCGGGAACTTGCGACAATGCTGATCGCACCACGACTTTGAGCTTCGGATCCAAACCCGGACCATCCGATTGCCAAAGATGCAATCTTTCACAAGCTCTCAATTTGGTTCCACAAAATCTATTCTCCAAAACATTTGATTTTGTTTTAGACCTTTTATCAACAAAAGCTTTTGTAATACGAACTCGGTTCAAAGCCACAAAAGGCTTGGTAATCGAAGGAATCACCGAGTTGTTGTTGTTGTTTCGAGTTTGAACAACAGAATTCGAAATCACCGACATTGAATCAATGTGATTTTTTCAACATCAAAAAAACGAGATCTAGTGATTTGTTGTAAATCACGAGAATGAAAGAAAATCGAATGAATTTTTGGATTTGGAAATATTGTTGTTTTATGGGAATTATTTACCGTATATCATAAAACTTTTTTTTTTTTTTGAATTTAAAAAATAAAATAAAAAAAAGTGTCTTTTATCTGTTGCGAAATGAACACGATTATATTTGAGTTAGCTATTCAACAAACTCAAACACCAAAATATTGGAAATTCTAGCGAGAGAAAGAAAGAATTTTAGCTAGAGAAAGAAAGAGAGAGAAGATGAGACCGACAGAGAGCGAGAGGGGAGCGTGGGTTGGTGCGATGAAGGCAGAGAGAGGTAGTAGGTGTTTGGTGGTTCATCACAATTTATAGACAGATAAAGAGAAGGAAAATTGTTGAGTTGTGAGGTGAGGAAAGAGAGAGATGAGGGGTGTGGGGACCACTTACTTTTAAAAGAGGATAAGTGTCCGATACAATAATTTAAATTATTTATCTTGTATTAATATTTTGAGTAAATATTATTTATTTAAAAATAATAATTTTATTAAATAATTATAAATGTAAAATAAAATAAATAATTTAAATTTATAATTTTATGTAATTTATTTTTTATATTTATAAATATTTGATAAAAAAATTTATATAAATAATTTTTATGACGATATAAAACTTAAGCATATTATAATAATAGTCTGTGCCTTGCACGAGTCTTTTTAAACTAATATATATATATATATATATAATATATGGGCAAATTACATATACACCTCTCCAGGTTTGGTTAAATTACAGATACCCCCCTGAGGTTTCGGAAATTACATCCCGCCCCCTGCGGTTTGTATTTTCATAACAATTTACCCCCTGAGGTTTATATTTCATAACAAATTACCCCCTAATTTCTTATGCAAATATAGCATTCAGGGGGGAATTCGTAATTTCTCAAACCTCAGGGGGGTATCTGTAATTTTGTCAAACCTGGAGGGGTGTATATGTAATTTGCCCAAAATTTAACAACAATATTAGAGTAGTGATCCCCTTTTTCGGTGTGAAATTATGAGTTGAGTTTTGAAAATAAAAAATTTATTTGATTATGAGTTTTGAAAAAAAAATTTAAATTTTGAAAAGAATTTTGAATTGTATTTTGAATTTTTTGAATTTTTTTAAATATGAAAAAAATATTTAAGAACATTTTATTTTTTTATTTTTAATATAAAAATTTTATTTAAATTTTTTTATTTTAAGTATATTAATTTTTAATTTTAATATTTTAAACTCAAAACACAACTCCACACTCAAATCGTAACCAAACACATAACTCAAACTCAATTCAAAAATTATTTTCAAAATTCATAACCAAACACATAATTCGAAACTCCACACTACTTTCAAAACTCTACACTCAAATCATAACCAAACACATAACAAAAAATTTAAAATATTTAAAACTATTTTTATAAAATAAAATAAAATATTTAAAATAAAAATTATATATTTAAAATAAAAATAATTTTTTTTCAATTTTTTAATATTTAAAAAAATACAGTGCAAAAATGTATGAAATATAGTGCACATTAAAATAAATAAATAAATAGATAAAATATAAAATATTTATCCTAAAAAATAAAAGTAAGAAAAAATTTTAACATTTAAAAAAAATAAATCCAAGAAATTTTAAAAGACAATACTCAAATCATGATTCTAAAAATAATTTTAAAAATTAAAATGAAAAATCTTTTTAAAATTTTTTTTTTTAAAATAGAGTTCTGAAAAAAGTTTTGGTTTTAAGTTTTGAAAATAGTTTTGGATTAAATTTTGAGTTGTGTGTTTGGTTATGAGTTTTGAAATTAATTTTTAAATTGAGTTTTGAGTAATTTTGAATTGTGTGCTTAGTTATGAATTTTGAAAAGTGTTTTAAAAATTTTAACTATGGAATCATGATTCCATACTCAAACCAAATGCAACCTAAAATTTTTATTAAGACTCTGTTTGGAATGATTTTCAAATCACAATTCTACCCACACATTCTAACATCATGTTTAGATAGAGTTTTCCAACTATATTTAATTGCCATGGAAAGCCTTTGTAGTTCGCAATTGCCTGCAAAGTGTCTTCTTGTGGGCCCCAGTTCAACTATATTTCTACACAACAATGATTCATCCCCCTTTTCTCCCCACCCCTTTGACCCCCTCTCTCTCTCATTGGTTATATTTTCTTTTTCTTTTTCTTTTTTTTCCTTCTCCTCCAATCACCACCCGCCACGTGGCAAAGGGGGTGAGGGGGTGACCCCCAAAAGGGGGTCCCAAGCATTATTCATTTCTACAACAAACACAAAACTCTATAGAAAATTCTATCTAAAGCGTGATTTTTGAATTTTTTTTATTTAATTTAGCCTAATCGGTTGTCCCACCAAACGTCGTACCGGTCGTTCGGCTGATTGATCGGAACAGTGCAATTTCTGAGTTTTTAAAATTTTTTATGTGTTTTAATAGAATTTTGAGTTGTATGTTTGGTTATGAGTTGTAAATTTTCGTATCAAATATCATATGTCATATTAAAAATTTTCCACTCAATTCAAAACTCTTTCACCAAATAAATTTTTCACACTCAAATCATAATTCCAAAACTCACAAACTCAAAATACAACTCATACTCTCAAATCATAGTTAGAAAGTTCTACCAAACGCAACCTAAATTTTTTACTAAATATCTTATATAAGTGTAAGACCTATATAGTGTGGGTCTCATGTCTATATATGACATTTGATAAAAATTTTGAGATCTCTAATATTTTTCAAAATTTAAAAGAAATTTCCAAAATAAAACAACAAAATTAATAAATATTTGGAGGATTATGGGGAAGAAAAATTGTGTGAATATAACATTGTTGAAAAATAAAATTCTTAACTACTCTCTTACTTAATAATAAAATTATTAATTAAAATATATTTTTAAATTATTAAAAACTATTAATTCACTTAATAATTTATTTAATAAAATAGATAATTTATTATCCGATTAAATATTTTACTAATTTCTAAATTATGAAGAGTAATTCATTTTTTTTTAAAAAAAAAAATCAATAATTTATAATTTATTCAAAACAAAAATATTTTATTACGCCGCCAACTGTATCTAGCGCTGGCAGTTTTATGCGGCCAACGGTAACCGTCTGTGAATTTTCTCGCTCCTCTATACCATCCTATCCCATGTTTCCCCATAACCAAACCTCATAATGTTGGAAATTATTGCACTCAATCATGTTGGAAATTATTTGTTTTGTTGGTTTGCTTTTTTTAAAATTATTTTTAAAAAAATTCAGAATTTGATTGTAATAAAATAAGGGGTGCTTTGGCAATTTAACTTTTTATCCATTTTGGTTCACATCACCTCTCACATTTTTTCCTCACTAAAAAACAAAATAGACTAAAAAAATCAAAAAATTAATTTTTTACCAACTTTTTAAAACACCACTAAGTCTTGAATTTTTAATTTTATCATTTTAAATCTGAATCTTCTGAATTTCAATCTAAGTCATCAACCTATTTTCATTAAATAAAATTAACCCCCCAAAAAAAATAGTATTTAAACTTAATATAAGTGTATATAAAATATTTAAAATATTATTTTTCATTAAATTTATTGACTTAATAAAAATAGAGAAATATTTTAGATTTAAAATAAATAAAAAAATTAATATATAAATTGATAAAATTAAAAATTCATGATTTATTTTGTTATAAGGGTTAAACCCTGTAGGTTTTTTTTAATATAATTTTTCCAATTTTTCTTAGATAGTTTTTGTTTATTTTTAATGAATTTTTTATTGAAAAGTTTACAATTTTTTTGTTAAAATTTGGAAAAAAATTTTTAAAATACATATAAAGAAAAAATTTTTGAAGACAGATGAAATTTATCTAAAAATAATTTTTTAAAAACCAAATCAAAACGAGCATATAATTTGCCAATGAGTACATTTATGTGATGTACTCATTTGAATTTTATTGATTAAAATAGTGAAATTTATTATTTTTATATTTATTTATTTTTTTAATGACAAATATTCTAAAATTGACAAACAAACAAATCATATAGGTTCATGTGACGGCAGGAGTGACGATGAAATGGCATTCTAGAAGAACAAAAAAGTAAATTATAAATATATTTTTTTAGTTTGCTTAAATTATAGATCATTTTTCATAATTTTACATAAAAAAATGATTTATTCACACAATTTTTTCCTTTAAAATCCTCCTGAATGACGTGACAAATAAAATTTGAAAAGTTGACTCACACTCCAATATTTTCTCAAAATTCTCTTTGTATGTATTCAGGGGATTATGGGGGAAAAAATTTGTGTGGATATAACATTATTAAAAAATAAAATTCATAACTATCCTCCTATGCAACAACAAAATTAATAAATGAAATATATTTTTGACATTGTTAAAAATTATTAATTCACTTAATGATTTATTTAGTAAAATGCATAATTTTTTATCCGATTAAAAATTTAAAAAGACGAGATATAATTTTTAAACTATAGAAAGCAATTCATATTCTAAATAAATTTATAATTTATCCAAAATAAAATTCAACTAGTTTGGTTCTGTTTTTCAAAAAACAGTTTTTAGAAAATTCTACTCTTTTATTTTTCGTATTTAATGTTTTCAATGAATTTTTTTTAATATTTTAAGCAATGTTTTAATTTTTAGACACACCTAACATAAATACACTTAAAAAGTATAATATTTGTGAAAAAAAATCTTTAAAAAATACAATAAATGCCAAAAAATATATAAAATATATATAAAAATTCAGTACATTTTTCATATTTTTGTTTATTTATTAATTTTTTAAAATATTTTTTTATTTAGATATATCTAAGTAAAGTATATCTAAAAAATTAAAAAAAAATTTCTTAAAATTTTAAAAATATTTACTAAAAATAAAAGAATTAATTTTTAAAATACTGAACTAAACATATTGATTATTATTGTCAGGTATACGCGGCCAACTGTATCTAGCGCTGGCAGTTTTATGCGGCCCACAGTGACCGTTTGAATTTTCTCACTGCTCTATCCCATCCTATCCCATGCTTCCCCATAACCAAACCTCATAATGTTGGAAATTATTTGTCTCAATAATGTTGGAAATTATTTGTTTTGTTGATTTGCTTTTTTTAAAATTATTTTTAAAAAAATTCAGAATTTGATTGTAATAAAATAAGGGGTGCTTTGGCAATTTAACTTTTTATCCATTTTGGTTCACATCACCTCTCACATTTTTTCCTCACTAAAAAACAAAATAGACTAAAAAAATCAAAAAATTAATTTTTTACCAACTTTTTAAAA